GCCTGGGGCATCCGAGTGTAGCGCTTATCACTATGATGTAGCCACATTACAGGCAACTGTGTCAAGTCCTGCTGCTCTCGTTATCAATAATCCCTTCGAATTTGACTTCTGAACGGTGGCTATCTATCTGGTGGTTAACACTGATAAGCAAGCTGACTCTGAGCACACCGGCCTTTCACATCACCGTCGTTTTGATTGTGTTGACTTTCAAGCCAGTTTCTCACCTCGTACACATCCAGTTTTACCAAGTGAAACACAGCTGATAAAAATTTGCAGGAGATGACAGAATGGGCGCCTCGATGGGCGCTGTGCAAATGTGGGGCAGTAACAAAACCGCTAAATTTCTCATGCCGCTATTGAGGTGCGTTCATCAGCAACGATGCACCAGCCAATAAATACAGATAGCTTACTTTCATTATGAAGAATAAGTTCAAATTCTTGGTTAGTCTGAGAGTAGCTAGAATCAGTAAAAAAGTTATGCATCTTTTAGTAAAATACCTTGGAAAAGTTTTAAATCTTATGAATAAAAAAGTTTATTTTCAGTAAGAATAAAAGAATGACAGCGATGGCGAAAGTGCAGGAAGATGCGGAGGCACAGGGAATTGAAATTCCCCCCTTCTTCTCCGACATTGACGAAGATTCGGGTATGCCGAAGCTGTTTGCGAGTCATGTTGAACAGGATTCTGTGGTAGAAGCTGTGCAGGAGGCTGTTCACCGCGCTGAAACCGAACTGCAAGCAGAAACCGGTGAAGTATTTGAACAGCCACTGCCCAAAACAGTTTTCTACACCATGGACACGCAGACCGAGAGTCCCATTTGGCTAGTATTTCATATCGCTTGCTTTTATTATTAACTCACTGCTCCTCGCTTTTCCATCTCCCTGTCTGTTTTACATCAAGATTGCTTAGGCGAAATTCACTATCTCCTTATAGTCGTCTTGTAGTCTTCTTGACGTTAAAGCTGCAAACATCTTGGCACTGGCTGTAAATAAAAAGATTTTTTTAATCATAAGTTGCCTTGATCGCCTTTGGCGTCTGACTACTTTGCTTTCTACTCGAGCAGTTGGCAGTCCGACTATTCGAGCAACTGGCAGTCCGACTTTTCTAATAATGCACACAACAGAGAGCTGGCTAATTAGTGCCTTTTTCACGACTAAGTTATTCACATACAAACACTCACGCACAAACACACACAAACATACACGGAAAGTATGCATAAACATATATACACATACATGCGCATCACGCACGCACATGCACAAATATCCATGCACAGGAACATGCCCGCATATACACAAACACATATGCATGGCAATTTTTTTTCTGATTTATGTAAGAATCTGTCATTTTTTAAGCGTTATAGCTCTGCTGCAATGAGCAAAAACGCATATTGTCGAAAGGACGTCCGTGTGTGCGTGTGTTTGTTCGGAAGCGAGTGAATTGTCATCACTTCCAACTCAGCAACCGCCAGTGCTGGGTGGCTGAAATTTTGTGGTTTTCTTTCCTTGATATTTTCTCTTCAGTCTTTAATTATATTCCCACCCCGTGTGTCACCCTCCCGCTTCAAAATCTTCACTCATACGCGCCTAGATCTCACATACAGACCCCCGAAAAAAATATGCAAATTTCATTGGCAAGGAACAATTTTGCGAACTGGACAAGATAGAAAGCTGAAACCTTGTAGGGATATTCTCTGTGCATGCATGAGTTAAAGATTTCTAATTCAGCTATCGCGCACTCCTACACCACAAGTACAGTCACGTCAAAATTTGCAGTGAGCACCGTGGTAACTCGAAAACTAAGTGGAAAACAGTGGCTGAAATTTTATCAGAATATTTATTGTTCATATAGAAAATCTTGTACCTAATTTGAGTTTCGATTTGCACTTGCGTCACAATTTATGGCACTTCAAATATATTGTAACGAAGTGGCTATTTCATTTACCAGATAAGTTGCAAACGTGATATTTTGCAAAGATTTTCTATATTCACGTATGGTCTTAACACATCTTCGAGATGAAATTCCATTCTTGCGGACATGAAAAATACCCAATTTTATCGCAAACTCAAAAATGACTGCATTTTGCAGATTTCATAATCCTATTCTTCAAATTTGCACTTTCTCAGTGAGCGAACATTCACTAGAAAAACGACCGGGCTTCATGCAAAAAACTGATAATCATGCACGCTGAAGGCCCATGCGGCCCCGTAATGCAACATCATTCCAGCCGACGCCCTTCCCCTCTACCTGCGGGAAGAAGATAAAACACAGGCAATATCAGTCCAAGTATTAAACTACATAGAAATTTCAGCATACATGTACTGGAGCGATGTTGTACGTGTTTCAGTGCCCCACTTTTGTGTGTAGGTTGCGGCCAGTACAGCTTATGGACGTGGAGATTATCTGTACAAGATAGCGAATGGATGTGTGTGAGGAGCAACAGCATGTATACATCTGAATGCATGTACTGGAGCTATGTTGTACATGTACCAGTGCCCCATTTTTGTGCGCAGGATAGCAGCGATATGTGAGATTTCCTGTACAGGATAGCGGACGGATGTAGAGGCATCTGTACGAGATGTCGATAAACTGTGTACAACACACAGAATCAACTGAATAGGATGCCTCAAAATTCTGTATAGTATATGTGGCATTTCTGTGCAGGATGCATCCAGGATGACCCAATTTACTATGCAAGATACCTGACGTTTATGCCGAAATGCTGTATAAGATGGGCTATTTATGTGTATTCTACACTGCAGATCCTGCACATTATACGGACTGGTTTAGCCAGCCAGCTGTTTCTATTCTGCGTGCCATTTCCTGTCTGTACTGCATTTAAACGAGGAATTATTTTTTGTCATGACATGTTTGCATCCCCTTCGTTCTCTTCCTTTCCTCCCTCCTTTCTACACATGTCTTCTGGAACATAAGGTGCGGTAAGCATCGTTTTTATAAAATTTGTTTAAAGGAAATTTCATCCAAAATTTATCCAAACATCCAAGTAAGCAATTCACAAACAGAATTTGCACAATTACTTAAAAATGCAACACAGATGCTACAGAAAAGAAAAAACAGCTGTTATTGCAAGAGAAAAAAAGATTAAAGATAGTCTTGTCAAAAAAGATCTTAAATTTTTAATCAAAAGAGCACAATATTCAAAACAATATGAGGTGAAAATCAAAATTAAACAAATGGCCACGCAGCGACTGTCGG